GGATGCAAACGAAACTCATGAATTAATCGCCACAAAGCATAAAACCTCTGTATATCTGAGTACTTTTGTCAGGCATAAATAGCATTTCTGAACTAGAAGATAACGGATTACATTTGTAAAGCGCCTTTCATGTCGGGTGGATGTGTCCCAATGGGTGGTACTAGCGCTGGGAGCTATTCATTGGGCACCCAGGAAATGTCCCTATTTGCTGTATACATTGTCTGCACCAGCGTATAGCTACAGAATTGGTCTTGGCCGCAATGTTCCCAATGGTTCATTAGCCTCATGACACTATCTTGATTTACTCATGACGAATGGGGAAGATAGAGATAGTGGAGTCTCGATGTTGTCAGGAAAGTGAGAGTGTTCAGTTTGCACCTTTGGTACCGACAGCCTTTATTGTTTCTTTCCACCCAGGGTGAGTGTGAATTGTGGACTGAGGAACCTGTCGTCATAACAAAGTTTGGGATGATGTTTTATGATGATCCCAGATGACTTCCATGCTTCCCATTTTGCAACTAAACGTTTTGGAGTTGCATTTATCGTGGTTTGGGTGGTTGTTTAGGCTTATTGATAGCAACTGTCTTTATTTGACTCAAAATAAATAAATGAATGCTAGCAATATATGTGGCTAAATGGTTAAACACAATCCCAAGTTGTGAAAGCGGACGCGCTTTTGGACAGATATGCAATGGCACATTTGCAGATTGTTCCAGATTCCTATGGATCTCCCCCCTCTGAGGAAGCTGAACTAGAGGGTTGTGTTCGGTGTGTATTTTAGGAGTGATCCAACCTGCTGTGATTTGACTTGTAACTTTTCAGCGTCAACAGTTTTGCTCATTTCATTTCTCGGCTGACTTTCTTCTGTGCAAATATCAGCTTTTGCCCGGTTTAAACAATCATCTTGTGGTATTTTTGTTGCACCTTTACAAAGAATCAAAGGACAACAATGCTGAAGTGCAGTTTAGTTTTTGTTAAAAAAAATAACACACAGAGAATGAGGCCAGAGGTATCAAAGGGGCACGCACCAGGTGTTTGGAAGGGAGAGAGAGTATGATATCATACCTATATTTTAACTGTTTTGCATATTCTTCAAAGGCTTGAGTGGAAAATAATTCATAACCAATTGAGCAAAGTGGACTCTGGAAGAATAATTGTCAGCCAATTCGCCTAACTTCATGGAAAAAATGACAGGCTGCTCCCCATGAGGAGATATTTAGACACAGTGTAAGCGGGTAGAGGCCAAAGAGCCGATAATTGCCCGGGAGTTGTGCAAGTGAAACTTGCTGGTCATTTATCATGTATCAGGGCAAGTGACGCTCCCCTGAAAAATTGGCTGTGGAGCAGATTGCAGGCGTGTTTATCAGTCTTACCCTTTTAAGCAGCTCCGAGACGCCATCCTTCGGGAAGCCACGACATTAATGCAAGGGTGAAACCTTGGGCAAGTTTCCTTACTCCACACAGAGCCTAATAATAATCCCTCCAAAACCAAAAACAATAATAAATTGGTCATTTTCAATCTACGACTGTTTGTGGGACATTGCTGTGCGCAATTGGCTGCTGCGTTCGCCCACAAATATACAGTCAATTCACTTTACAGTCTATTCTGTGAAGCGCTTTGGGACGTCCTCCCGACGTGAAAAGCGCTATATCAAATGCAAGGATTATTATTATTATTATTATAAATTGTGATGGAAGTCAATATTGTATTATAATTAAGAAAGAACTACTAAAGATGTGATCAGTTATGGAGGGAGGAAACCTTGGAGAGTTGAACACAACAGCAAATGAATGTGAGCTAAAATATTGTACCTACAGACTTAAGTGAGAAGTTACTGTGAACACTCGGGGGGTGGGGGACTCATCAGTCTGATTTTTTAAAAAACTCTTTATAAATCTAAATATCCGTTACCTGCTTTAGTGTTTATTGTTCACATGTTTGGAGTTTTGCTTGTTATTCCTTGCTCCAGGAGCAATTGCTGGGCTGCTTATTCTGTAATAATAATAATCCTTGCATTTCATATAGCGCTTTTTCACATCGTCTAGACGTCTCAGGGCGCTTCACAGAAAACACTGCAAAGTGAATTGACTGCATATTTGTGGGTGAATTTCTGGGTCTTGTTTTCACTGCGTGTTCAACTGCTGTGGATCTGGGCCTTTGGTAAGCCAAGGGCATGGAGTGGTGATAGGAGTGAAGGTGTATCAAACCATCCTGCTAGCCTCACTCATTACATGGAGGCACCCGGTGTGGATCAGAGCCTTTCTCGAGGCTCACACTGGACCTGTGCTTCCCAGACAGACACCAATTGTCCTATTAACATGAAGCTCCCAGCTGGTGGAGCAATATGCTTTTTTTCCCCCTCACTTGCTTCCTTGAATTATTTAATAATTCCTGAATGGTTTGCAATAGGAGCCTAATAACAGTTGTGCATTGCCAATCGCCCTGGTGAGAGCTAACTATTATCTTGCAGCACTGAACCTAACAGGGTTCCTGGAGCCACCTTTGCCTGTTAAATGAGCTTGTTAATCCAGATGTTTATGTTACCTGTTCGCTGCGCAAATGAGTTTTGTGTACATCACACATCCGAAGTGCTGTTTGCAATCGCTTGTTGGGGTCACGGGCCAAGTGCTAAATCCCCTTCCGACTCTCTGGATCACTCGCACGGGAAAGTACTGTAAACTCGTCATCCAGTAACGCTGAATCTAATGAGCAGGATCTAATTGAGAGGCCAGGGTGTAGGTGTGGGTGGGCATTTGGGAAGGGGCCCTTTCAGGTACAGTATTTACACTTACCAGCAAAACGTTTGATGTTCATGGCACAGTAGTTGGAAAATTGTTAACAGTTGCCATCGGAATTCTTTGTTCTTTGGCATCTCATGAAAAACGCTGAAACAGCTGTGGAGAATATTTTCTGTAACTATCTAGTGGCAAAACGTTGTAAAGTGGAATGGGAGAAATACGTGGAAACAATTCAGCAATTTTTTTTAATATTGTGTGTGTGTGTGTGAGCATTTCTGCATTGTCAGCGCTGACTGAAGCTGTGATCTTTATGGATGAAGAAAGTTTTGTGTGGCAATGTTAGTGTAGTGTTGTGCGCTCTAACCTAGATTACATTTGAAATCTGTTTCAACTCTAGGCGTTTACCTACAAATACACAGTTGCTACCCTTTACAGGAAACCCTGTGAAGCAATGTGATAGTCCCTGTATCAAACACAAGGATTATTATTATTATTTCCTGTTTATTTTCCGAACCCAGGAAATATTTGCGGTGCATGGGTTAATTTGGGAGCTGTAGATTGGCATGAATAATAATAATAATCCTTGCATTTGATACAGCTCCTTTCATGTTGGGAGGACACCTCAAAGCGCTTCACTAAATTCACTGTATAGTGTAGTGATTGTGAATTTTGTAGACTAACGCAGCAGCCAATGGATGCTGGTACTTGCTTTGGATCTAAGGTTCCCAAAGCTTTCCACTGTAATGGTAGCCTAATCCATACAGAATTAATTGCTGTCAACATCTCCATTATTGTTGTATGCGACTACGAGGATGGTAGAAGTTGAACTAGATGGACCTTGGTCTTTTTTCATCTAGCAGTTCCTATGTTCCCAACAATCTGTTAATGTTGATCATTGCTCATCTGTAGAATTTGAACGCTGGCAGTGTCAGTCTAGTGTTTTGCTTGCCCCACTGAACAGCTGGGAACTTTTTTAAGACATGTTACAAAGTGTATTTAATGACCTCGGACATCGTCTGTAAACCCCAAGATTAATTGTATTCAGAAATAGTATCGCTGTAAATAATACCCTCCTGGATTGTCAGTCATGCCTGTGGCAGGTGCACAGATAATGGACAAGACGCTTACTTGAATAATAATTTTTCACCATTTTTAGGTTTTGAAGTACAATTGCAATATGAAAAAAATATAAAAGATTCCCCCGCCCCCTCCCCACCTGCCTGTACAAACGTGTAAGCGTTCAGTTAGATGATGTGCCTTTTTCAGGGTCACTGTTTCAGATCTCTCCAAAGGGAACACATTCCCCTGAAAACACGTGGCTTATAGAAACTCACACGGCTACCTGTTTAGCCTGGATTCTTCATGAATGGCAAACTTGAGATTGATTGTACAGTATTTTAAACATTTTAAGTTGGGGGCACAAAACACAAGTTTTACTCAATTAAGGATTATCTAATGAGGCTAGAGGCATTTATTTATTTATTTATAATAATAATAATCCTTGCATTTGATACAGCACATTATCTTCGAGACGTCTCAAAGCGCTTCACAGAATATACCTGTAAAATGAATTGACTGGATATTTGTGGGCGAAATGCAGCTGCCAATTGTGCATAGCATCGTCCCACAAACAGTCGTGGACTGAGTGACCAAGTTGTTATTTTTTTAAAAATGATTTGAAGGGATTATTTTCAAGATTGTGGGTTTGCTTTCTTTAAATATATATAATATCTGTAAAAAGGGGTCAACCTCCTGTGATGACTGAAATGGAGATTCAGCTGGAGCTGAACAAACGAGAGATTTGTTAAAATGCTTGAGAGTTTTTTTTACTATTCTGTTCCCTACTTATAAATTTGTGGCATTCACTCTACTCCCGAGGACAATAAGTTTTCTGTTTGGGGTTGCCGGGAAACTCTACCCTCGATGAGCAGAAAACTAATCTGTGAACATTTTCCTAATGTGCTTCTTGATGATATTTATAATGAAGAACACATTTTTTTATTAACACCGGGTGCAGTATATCGTTAAATGGCAGCATTATTTTCGTTTCAGCATTGGAAGTGATTACTGCCGTTGAGTAGTTCATTATGGCGCAAGATTGAGAGAGAAGCCATTTAGTGGCTGGGATGGAAGTTTTTTTCCTCCCCCCCCCACCCCCCCCACCTCATCAGTCTGCAAGTCAGTACTGCAGTGTCAGCATTCAGCAGACAAAAAAGGAATTCACTGAAGGCTGCTTGTTAGCTTACACTCCTTTCTTTCCATGAGAGCTTTTCTCTGGCTTGCTCCCCTCCCCCCGAACGGCCATAGACATTCTAGAACAAACATATGCTCCCAGGTCTGTTTCACAAGCTGTCGTCTGTGATTTGCAGCTTATGATGCATGAAGGATTTTTTTTCAGCAAGAGGAGATGAAGAAAGCAAAGGACAAGGAATATATCAGAACTTTCCTCACAGACGTTTGGGGGCTGCAGAATATACTTCAGCTTCTTGTCTTTTCTGAAACTTGATGAAGAAAGAACTGTTAGTACAATTTTTTTCTGCATGGGAGTTTTTTTTTAACTTTAACGTTTAGTCCGGCCTCTGTGACTTCTCCACATTCAACTGATTATTGCCTTCCGTCTCGCTCGGTTGCTCACCTGCACAGTCTTAGGGAATATCGAGTGCCGCTGGTTAATTTTACCAAGAAATGAAATTGAAAAAAAAACAAAGTACTTTGTCTTTACAGCACAGAGTGACAGATGGTCGGGGTCACAACTCCCAGTCATGTTGTGGGTTCTTCGTTTGGGTTTTTGGACCTTTTAATGTTTGCGAACTTGTGGCTGGAACCCCTGCTCACTATCTGGCGCCAACCCCCTCCCCCCCTTTAAAAAGGACCTCTGGTGGGCGCGTGCCAGTTGTGCTCTCAATGGCACTTTGACTTGACTGAGGGAGGGTGGTGAGGGGGGGCGGGTGGGGCATGAAAGTAGCACTGGCTCTGATTTCACATCACCGTGTGTGTGTGTGACACTGTCTGTCTGCATGCATGCATGTCTGTGTGTGTGTGAGTGTGTGTGCGCGCGCGTTTGTCTGTGTGTGCGCGCACTTGTCTGTGTGTGTGTGTGCGCGCGCGTTTGTCTGTGTGTGTATGCGCGTTTGTCTGTGTGTGTGTGTGTGCGCGTTTGTGTGTGTGCGTTTGTGTGTACGTTTGTCTGTGTGTGTGCGTTTGTGTGTGTGTGCGTTTGTCTGTGTGTGTGTGCGTTTATCTGTCTGTGCGTGTGCGCGTTTGTCTGTGTGTGTGCGCGCGCGTTTGCCTGGGTGTCTGTGCGTTTGTGGGTGTGTGGGTGCGTGGGTGTGGGCACGGGTGCGGGTGGGTGAGTGCGTGCGCGGGTGGGTGGGTGGTTCCGTGTAGGTGCGTTTGTACGTGCGTGTGTGAGGTTGTGTGTGGGTGTGATGACAGCGCAGCGCATAGAGGCTCGACTATTTTACCTAAATGTGATCTTTTTGCGCGTTGTGCGTTCTGACGCAGGAATCTCTATTGGTCCAAAGTGGAGACTGTAGCCGTGCGTCTGCATCAGGCAGCTCAAGTGATGTGGGGAGTGAATGAAGGAGAGTTGGTGGGGGGGGAGAGGAAACTCAGCCAAGGTTCTCTTCTGTTCTCGCCACACGTGCTCGTAGACACGTCCTGGCAAAGGTCACGAGATAACGATCATGAGCAGCACCCTGCCTGACGTTTCCCTCCCTAGCGCAGGGACGCTGAGACCCGCTGTGACACCCCTCAAACCGCTGGCCTCGCTGAGATCAGCTAAGTCAGTACCGACCCCAAATTGAACCTTTAACCTCCTGAGCGTGCACTAGGCAATGCCTTTAACTACTCGGCTTGTCAAAGGAGACCCTCTGCTTGTTTAGTGCATTGATTTAACTACTTGGAACAAAAAAAGTGAAAGCAATGATCTGGTGAATTGGGTGATTAGTTTACACCAGTGGTATAGCTCCTATTCCAACTTCATTACTAAATATTTTATATAGATTTACATAAAACTTTGTACAAATTCTTCTCCCTCTTCATCTGCTTCTGCCACATTATTACATAGAATGACATAGAATATACAGGACGGAAACAGGCCATTCTGCCCAAGTGGTCTATGCCAGTGTTTATGCTCCACATGAGCCTCCTCCTGCTCTTCCTCAACTAAGCCTTCAAGCAGAACCTTCTAAGTTTCTCATCCTGAAGAAACCAAATCCCACTTTAAACCCAAGTTTTTAATAAGTTTTAATTTGGTAATTCCCGGTGTTTTCAGTGGCTTCAAAGAGAATGCGATGGGTGTAGTGGGAGAGATGCTACATACAAGAATGGACCAATAAAGAGGGCCAGAAGTACACAGGTTGGAGGGCGCAAGGATATCAATTAGATATTGTAGTTGAGATCCAGTGTGTCAACACCTGATGTCCACACAAATGCCCTTTGGGTTGGTCACTAGATATTGATCAGTGGCAAGAGCCACCTCCTTTTCTGGTCCATTTAAACGTCCACCTGAACAGGGCAGGTGGGACCATAACATCTCATCCACAGGAACACACCTCCAACCATGCTGCAAAACAGTTATAGTTCAGGATGACATGGCAAACGGCAATGCAGCGCAGCATTTAGGACCACGACTGTGATTTTGTACAAGTGGAAATCACAGCTTCACAAACTTTTAGCAGTTTTGATAGATTTTTTTGTGGGGGAAAAACATCCTGCAATTTTGATGCACAATGCAGAAGAATTGCCTAACACATTGTTCACAAACTAAATGCCTTCAGACTATCTTGCCTTTTATCAAAGAGGTGCCTATGCAGTGCTCATATCCACAACAGATGGAGTAATTTTATTTCTGTTTTGGCATCATTCCTCACTTTGATCATTGAGTATCTGTAAACCTCTGCAGCGCTGCTCGAAACTTTTGACTTGCTCTGAAATTAGGCTTCAAAAATCTGAATGTTTTAGAACGAGTTTTATCTCGCACACTCATCTTAAGAGTGCCCTGTGTTGCGTCGTTAGTGAAGAAGGTTTAACAAGTATTTATTTGGGTTGGGGTGCCGGAGAGGAGTGGGGCTAGGGAGAGGTGAGGGCTGTGTGTGGGCGTTAGCAGAGGGAAGAAAGTTTGTAGAAAATGTTTGACCCCTGTGCGTGAAGTGTTAATAATTGGGGACACTGAGCAGTTTACTTTAGTTGTGATAGTCGAGAGCTAATGTAATTGTGTTTTAATGAAAATAATGAAGCGAGTGTAGAAAATCGGATCCTTGTTTTTTTTTGCATAAAGGGAACAGACAGAGAACACATTGCTTTACTTATAAAGTCTGTTTCTGTTTTGCAGATTTCTTCCTGGTCAGGCTCCAGGCTGAGGCTTGGAGAAACCCACCACCACCATAGATTCCAATAACTGGAGCGGGAGCGAAAGCCCTGCTGAAGACATGGACAGAATGACCGATTCTGCGGACAAGCCCATGGACAATGATGCGGAAGGGGTCTGGAGCCCTGACATCGAGCAGAGCTTCCAGGAGGCGTTGGCCATCTACCCGCCGTGTGGCAGGAGGAAAATCATTCTCTCGGACGAAGGCAAAATGTACGGTAAGTACACGCACCAGGACGCCTTGAACTGCAAGTGGGTCGGAGCCAGCGGAGGCAACCGGAGAAGTTACTGTCTGAGAGCAGATGGCACTGCGACTGTCACCACTCTGCTTCTCTTTCTCTTCACTCCCCACCCCCCACTCCACACACACCCTCTCGCTCATCTCACTCCACTCAGCTTCTACATGAAGTGATGAAATTGCAGAAGGTTTTTTGTTCATGTTGGGTCAGTCAGGGTCCCAGCAGGCCAGTAATAGCAGAGGGAGAAAAGACATCATCTCAGCTGCCGTGTGAGCCTTTGGCTACGAAGGGATTTTTAAACACCTTAAAATTGTGTCTTTGAACCAGGAATTACCATTAGTACAAACGTGTGTGTGTGTGTGCGGGCGGCCCCCCCACAAGCCACCCCCACCGCTCCCACGCCACACTTCCCCATCTTTCCTGGATTTGCAGATCTCACCTCAGTGGAGAGTTTCATCGGCACTGGCTGCCCTGGGTATCTTGACTCAGTGGCTGTTCTTTGCTGATGAACCCAGACGGTGAAGGTCAGGAAGCTGTGTGACTATAGGCAGTGTATAGGACAGGGAGGCTATTTTGCTTGTTGTGTCTATGTTGGTGCCACAGGAGCCGAGCCCAATCTTGTCACCCACTATTTACTGGGGGAGGCGGTGGGGGGAGGGCAATTGAAGCCAAGTCCGATGCTGTTCTCACCCAATATCCAGATAACCTTTTCCAGCAGAGGTTTTGAGGCAGGGGATGGGCTTTGGCCACATTTCCCCTCTCCCAGTCAGCAAGGTACGGATCAATTGGGTAGTTTTGCATTTTGCAGAGACCATTGAGTTCAGGCATGAAGATCTCTGAAATAGATTGGGTCAGCACACGACCAGAGCATCACAGCAAGTACACAGGACTAACAAGTGGCACGTGCCAGTGTGAGTCCAAAGAGTTGTAGCTAAAATAGCTATTGTTAGCGTGTTGAATAACTTGTACAATGCAAAGAACACTCTGAGCATCCTGTAGTGTACACGTCCATGGAGTCTGACCCAGTTTAAGATAAAGGTTTGACTCGTCTATAAATATGCTTGCATTTTGTTCCATTGCACTAAATACCTGTCTAAGGCAAGCTGGCTTTTATGTGAACATTTTTTTGCTATAGTGTGCCCCAAGGATGTTGGGGTGACCTTAGCGGCTATTTGCTTTCCCTCCCTCCATAACAGGCACCATTAGCCACTCAATAAAGCCCCAAAATTGCAGAACATGCGAACAACGTATTTGGTTCGTCAAATGAAAGATTGCATATGTTTTTGTCAAGAGGGACAGACTGTTATGTCTAGGATTTCTGCCTGTTATCAGGAGTGTTTTTTGAGGCTCTGGTTGGTGAGGACTGAAGCCAATTAGGGAGGAACAAGTACTTACCGTTTTTTTCCTTATATACAAAATCATTGGAGAAATTAGTAACCGTTGGTAGTACTTTCCAAATCAAACCTTCCTTTTTTTTCGTGGATGGTGGGAGGAAGAGAGAGATTGACTTGGCAAATGTGACTGTAAACTTTGGCATTTTAGTTCTAAAAGACAGTACAAAAAACATTGAATCCAAGGTTAATATTCCATACTAATCTTCCACATTGAGCTACGATTGAACCTTTTATTCTGCCAAGATGAAACTCTGTTTGTTTGATTCCTTTTTACTCTCGGTCTGCACGACTCGGTGCTAAGTCACTGATTGACTGACTGGTTCAGCTGTGACACCCCCAAAAGTTCAGAGCGTATTCTCAGCCAGGTCGTTTGGTGAAAGGCATTGAGTGGTAGCGATAAGCTTCCCAACAGGGAGAGAGAGAGAGCGAGAGAGAAGAAGTTGGCAAGCGCTTTGCCCTTGTGTGCTCCAGCCGACCTCTGAATGACAATTTAGAACTGCATTGGCACAGGCTGCGAGCAGGTTGCATGCCTGCCCTCTTGGCCATGTATCAGCATCACTGAAGTTACGGCAGTTCAGATTATAGTATGTTCCAGAAAGCATATCCGTTTTGTTTCTTCTTGGAGTCCTTTAGCTCAGTGGTTAGAGCACTCACCTCACAAGTGAGAGGACCTGGGTTCGATTCCCAGGCGGGGTGAAACCTTAGGCAAGTTTGCTTACTCCATTGCCTGTTTCTCTAGCAGTAAGTAGGAACTTGGTTATAAATTGATCGGGGGGATTGCTTTCCAGGGGTAATAATCCCTTAAAAAAATAATAATGACTGTTTGTAGGATGCTGCTGCATGCAATTGGTTGGCACGTTTCGCCAACAAAATATAGTCAATTCACTTTACAGTATATTCTTTGAAGCATTTTGAGATGTCTCAATGATGTAATAATGAGCTATATCAAATGCAAGGATTATTACTATTCCACTTTCCCTGCTCCTCTTCCTCATCCTATCCATTTCTCGTTCCTCCATCAATGGAAGAAACTGTTAATTTACAAAACTGAATGTGGGCAGCTGAGCAAATTGAAAAAGGGATTGAAATAAATTGAAAGTCTTGGATCGCGCGTTGCTTAAGTTCTAAAACTCTCAGCCTGAAGAGCAACACAATTCAATCATGAGTTTGTTGGCAATGTGAGAATTCCTACCCCTTAAGCTAAGCATTTGCTATGCAGTGAAGTGGTCAATCAGCCGGTGTCTGCAGCTGAAAATGGTCATTTCGCTTTAGTGGGGGCTGAACGTGTCCGTTGTGTTAATGTTCCCGATGATTGATCTCTCCTGCCCCAATAGTGAGATGAGCAATGGTATTGCACGCATGTGCGCGATGTGGGTTAGCTGTAGTTATGAGTCGGGTCTGTCTGCTCTTGGATTCTTCTTGGGAGGATTGAGCAGAAGATCCTTTCCATTTTTCTCTTTCTTCCTTCTTTACCAGCTTCCCCCTCCCCTCCCCAACCCCCTCCACAGTATGGCTTGTCCAGAGGCTCAGTGCCATAGATGTCAGCAGCTATTGGTCTGGTACCTTGCCAGTTGGGCATTCATCATGTGTTAGTCTGTATAATAAGGGCTGGCAGACTGGTTCAGGGCCGGTGGGTGGGTGGGGGGTTGGTGGGGGGGTTAGGGAGAGCTGAATTTGATGCTGTTCACACCCAATGGCCCAAGAACATTCATTTCTTATGAAGAAAGTTACTGGATGGTAATTGGGAATAAGAATATTGACTTATTCTCTTCCCGTCCCAGACGAGAGATACTAATATCAATTGTGTCTCCGCTATCCTCCCCAATTCAACAAAGAACCTTCCTGACCTGTGTTTGTATTTGGTTCAGTAACACACTACAAGCTCCACATACTCACCAAGGCAAGATATCCATCTCCAAGCAAGGCTCCCGCTATGTGCAGCAGTGGCTGGTTTGATGCAGTGATTTCACGGAGATGCCTTTAAATGTTTTGACACTAGGACAGTGGCAGGATCATTGGGAGGCTTCAGTGCACTTTTAATGAGGCTTTGCAATTGCCTGTGGGTTAATGTGACCCAACCAAGTGCACCTGCTGCAGAATCATATTTGCATTGATAAAGTTCTCATTTGCAAAGCTTTCATTGGAAGCCTATCTGGAGGCAGGATGACTGAAAGCGAATGGAAATTATATCCTTTCTGATTTCATTTGAATTCCTTTTAGTTTTCGTTTCAGGATTTAATGTTTTTTTGTGTGTTTTGAGTGTGTTTTGTCTGGTGTGTGTGTGTGCTTTGTGAGGTGTGTGTGTGTTTTGTGAGGTGTGTGTGTGTTTTGTGAGGTGTGTTTTGTGTGGTGTGTGTTTGTGTTTTGTAAGGTGTGTGTGTGTTTGTTTGGTGTGTGTGAGTGTGTTTTGTGGTGTGTGTGTGTGTTTTGTGGTGTGTGGGGGGTGTGTGTGTTTGGTGTGTGTGGGTTGCGTGTGTGGGGTGTGTGTGGTGCACGTGTGTTTGGGGTGCGCGTGTGTTTTGTGTAGTGTGTGTGTGTGGTGCACGTGTGTTTTGTGTAGTGTGTGTGTGGTGCGCGTGTGTTTTGTGTAGTGTGTGTGTGGTGCGCGTGTGTTTTGTGTAGTGTGTGTGTGGTGCGCGTGTGCTTTGTGTAGTGTGTGTGTGGTGCGTGTGTGTTTTGTGGGGTGGGTGTGAATTATGTGAGTGAGAGAATTAAAACTTTTGGTGTATTTGAAAACTGTAGAAAAGGGAAAGGAAATGTATCCCAAGATCACGATGATGGGTCTGAGCACAAACACAGGGCAGATTGAGGCGTGATCTGTTTACACAATGCGCTGCTTAACCTGGGAAGACGTGCTGGATGGCATCAGGTTACCTGACCAAGACGAGACTTGTGAGGATAAGACAGAGCAAAGGAGATGAGGCATTTGAGGTACACTGTGTTTATACCTGCCTGGTTCCTTCCCCTCCTTCCAAAAGAGAGTCCTGAACTATACCAAAGGGTGGATTTTTTTTCCCCCACATCTATTTTCTGAATTTTGGTTTATTTTTCTAATTTGTAGTGATTCAGACAAGAGCAAATCCATGCTTCTGCTGTGAAATGGGGCTGCCATTGGCTGCCGAGTTTGGTTATCTTCAAGTTGGGTTTGACCAGAGCAGGAGCGATTATCCAGATAGTAAGATGGGGTGGGAGGGAAGGAGCATTCAGAATTCAGATACTTTTAGGGGAATGAGAAAATATTGTGGTGCTAAAATATTGTTGAGTTTTTGAGTGTAGTTCCCAGGTAGGCAGGGTGGTCATTCTGTATCCTCTGAAATTAATGAGCTCTGAGAAACTGCACGCCTCTAGCTAGTTAGTGGGATCATTACTTTGGCTCGAGCCAAAAACATTTAATTTATTCATACTATCACCATCTGGGGAATATGAATATTGATTTGATTCTTTTCACATGGTCTTAATTAAGTGGTAATTTCTAAAACGCCTAGGTAGTCAAATGAGAAGATGGAATATGTAAATGGCTGAGCAAATACAATGGCCTTCATGTGTTTTTCCTAAAAGTTTTAATCTTTCATTTTCAAACCAATT